GAGAACAATACAGATACATATATGACAGGAAGAGAAAATACCCATAGCAGAAGAATAGAGAACGAATATATATATGACTATTATACAATTGTCTCTTATGGCACGTCTTTAATATGTGCCATAACAAGTCCGATAGTCCTACCTACCAGAAATCGATACCTGTAAGATATGTGTATATTTTGTTTTTGTAAAATAGGTTTTCGTGTGACCGAACACGAAAAGCATATTTCTTTGTAAGCAAAGCAACGGAGATTATTTGCGCAAAAATGTAAAGAAGCGCATAAAGAAAGTATGCAGCCTGAAAAAGTTCGATTTTCTCTGCATTTATGATAAAAAATGAATTCTCAACCTAGCAAAATAACTAAGAAACAAAGTTTTTTCTTTAAATAGGTGGTACTAAACTACTAGTTTTTCGTATTGTGCGTTTTATATCTTAATATATATATAGAAGTCTTTTCTTCTGCGTAAGTACGGATAGCTCTTAGGATTAAGATATAAAAAACTTTTCTGAAATCGATTTAGCGTAAGTCGTGATACATGTGATTTACTTTTTTGAACACAATTGTACAATGAATACACAACAGAGTTGTATTCCGTCTGAAAATAAGAGACCGGACCGGCCGGTTTGAATATCGGTTTAGGCTGGTTAAAAAACGGCAAAAGAACGATTAGTTTTGAAAAAAATTTAGATCGGTGAAAAACAGCAGAAAACCGGGTGGTTTTCACAGATTTTCTAGACGGATAAGAGGGTAGAAAACGTACTTTTTTTTAGTAAAGGAGAGAAAAATTCTAAGAATTTCAAAACCGGCAAGAAACCGGTCAATTACCAGTCGGTTTGAAAACCTGTCTAGACCGGCAAAAGATCAATGGGGGACTGACCGGTCTAAATTTTTACCTCGGAACGGATCGGCACCGGCCCGTTACAACTCCGATGCACAATTCATCACATGGAGATTCTTTTGTGTAGAAGTATAAAAACAGCAGAATAAAACTCGTTTGAAAAAAATGAGAATACAGGAGATTTACAATACTTTATATTTGAACAATAAATATCTGTACTCATATGATGGAAAGTACGGCTCCATCAATAACACGATGGTGTTTGCCTGCACGATCTCGCTAAACTTGGGGTCGGGTAGTCCATCAGTAAAAGTACAGACATACTTCCTATCCTAACTGGGATATACTCCAACACTGACCGTGTCGAGCTGTATGAGACTACATTTTTCGTTTTTGAAAAAACGATTCAGGAAGTGGTCAGAACAGGATCACAGAAGTCAGCTCTCCACTTCACCTTGTTCAAAAATTCCAAAGGAATTCGTCGTTATACATTTTAATATTTTTCTGAATAAGTCACTTGATAGAGATCAAAAAGTTGTCTTTAAAGTACAATTTTTAAGGTGATAGTTTTAACTTGTTTAATTTGATTCAATATAAAAAAAAGATCAACAGATGGGTTTCCGTGTATATTTACGATTGCTATAAAATGATCGAGCCACAAAAATATACCAGTCTATGTACAGTCAACATAGAGTGCAAATATTGCTCATTCTAGCAGGAAAGCAATGAGTTCAATAGCTCAACTTGTCGTTGAGGTTTTCAGAAAATTTCTTCTTGTAACTATGTTTTATCCAAAAATATCATCGGATAGACGCTTCAATTCTCCACAAACTGAAATGCTGCGAAGTTTCTACGATCTTGGACGACCGAGCTACATGCTGTTTAACATTATGAATATTAACTCATTCGCTTTCATTCTGAATTTTCCGTATGGTGTTTTCTATGACACTTCGACACAACATCGCAGAAACTTCATCAGCATTCAACTTCGTCAGCATCTCATTTTGTGGAGAATTGAAGGGTCTATCCGATGATATAATTGAAAAAGTTCTGAAACAAATTTCAAAGTCACTAGGTTTTCTAGAAAACCGGATTTTTCATAAATCTCTATCTCAAGACCCCGAGGTCTAGCGTAACGTTTGTTCATCGAAATATATAGAACTCGACGTGCTCTTTCAATAGCTCAAATTGTCGTTGAGATTTTCAAAAACTTTCCCCTGGTAACTATATTTTCTCCAAAAATGTGCGCCGAATGTACGCAGAAATTTATCCTCTGAAGTTACCTTTAATAATACTATTACAACTAAAAATACCAAAGTTTCTTGCCTGCAGCTTTCTGAGAGGCAGAAAACTGGTCTTCCAGAATTCCATTCGCATTAATCGAAAATGATGAGAAGCAACTCCATCACTGAAATTGAGAATAAGATCTTAATCCCTCCTTAAAGTTTTTCAGCAGTCTTTAGCGATGAAATTTTTCTGGTGTTCTAAAAAATTCAGTTATTGAAAAAATAGACTCTATCAGTCCTTCTAGAACTGTTGTCTATCAAACAAAACTATCTCCTTAGTCTTGTACGTATAGCTAAAATTTGAATGGAGAAAACTGCCGCTTCACCTAGCAAAAAGACTGGGAAGCTGCATAAATTCATTAAACATTTGTCGAAGATCAAAACGGCAAAAGTAACGCGGAATATGTTCATTTTTCACGTTTGTCACCGTTTTAGACATAATGAGTTCTATATTGTGATGCCCGATACTACAAGCATTTAATATAAAATATACCAATGGATACATAAATATTTTAAATAATGCCCCGCCTGCTCTGCTGTAGGCTGTGCTTATATAGTAATTATATAAAGACTACTTGTTTCTATTATGTTGAGAGTTCCGCTGTGAGGCACGTCTGTACTTCACAAAGAAATACAGAACACAATAATCACAGTAGGAAACTTTTATGTAGTTAAAAATTTATTAAAAAATAAAGATTTTAATATGTTTTGATGTTGAATACAGTAGCGTCAGATGACTAATATATTCGCTCGCATGGATACCATCATTCAATGTGGTAAACACGAATTTTATAAGGTAAATCCAAACGACGTTGGCACTCTGAATAAACTTAGCTTTAAAAATGCAGCTGACAAGCCAATTAACATGTTTTATTACCGTAAACCGTGGGAACGTGTTAAGCCTACCTTAAATATGTACAATATGCAATATCCCAATTGTAAACAAGGTATTTATTCATTTCGTTCGAAGTTTGTGCCAGCTACACCGCCATTAACCGAACAAAGAATCTCTTCTACAGTAAAAATAAGAAATGCACCAAACGATAATGTTGTACAGGCTGAGAAAAGTGTAGTATACAGTTATGACAACAAAAATCGTTCATTTAGTCCGGAATATTTAGCCCTTAATTCTGCGCCTGCAATGCGCAATTTGTCACACACACAAACATCTCAGCGTCACGTTGGAGTTCAATGCACTCGACTGTTACCCAATAATCACCACGATAATGGACTTCGGTTGGAAGACATGTCTACACGTCAACAAACATTTGTAATCCAACCTGAATCCTATCGTTTTGTTGTACACGCTAACCCGCAGCTTGTCTGTACATATGAGACTTTGGATGTTGTTCCTGAAAGGACAATGTCAAGTCCAAAATGTCCCGTGCTGAAAGAACAGCGCAACATTTATCCACGTTCACCACGACTTGTTACCCTTGACCCTACGGATGAGCTCGATTACACGAAATGCGAAGAAAAACGAGCTGTCTGCTTTCGAAAACCAAAATATCATCAAAGTCCTTGTACTCTATTGCCGTCAAAGCTTAAAATGGTTTATGTTAAATACGATGCATTGATATGATATTTTTATCACAGAACCTGAATATACATCTATTTATTAAGAATAATCCTAATTAAGCGGTCGATTATAAGTTAACAGTTAGAACGCACGTATATCGTCTAATATGAAAGCCAAGCAATAGGACCAATATATGGTGGCACATAGTATTGAAGATATGCATCATTCAGGCAAAAACAAACGCTTTTATAGTGCAAAAATATACACTTTAAAGGAAAAAGAATCGAAGAAATCCCGAGACAAGAGGACAGTACGTTGTGAGAGAAATTCTTCTCAGCCATGTGTTTGAGAGCTTGAACATGCTAACGAGATAATATGTTTTTGTGATAAAAAGCTAACGTACTATAGTTTGTGGTGCTCTAATAAAAGGGCATGCTTGTCAGAGGAATATTTCAATATTTGTCTGTCTAATGTCATAGTGAACTAAGGGATTTGGCATGCTACAAGCTTTAGGACCCTGCATCAAAGATTGCATGTTTTCATTATTCAAAAATCTCCAAGCTCCACCGAGTTGGAACAAACTTAACCAGTTTTCTCTGATCTGTCCAAAATTAATGCCAGGACTGGTCAAGATCAATAAAAAAGTGTCGGGCTTGGTAAAGCTTGGTGGAAGTTGACCTTTATCTGGATTTTTTAACAACCATTACCAAGCCCAGCACTTTTTTATTGGTCATGATCAGCCCCAGCATTAGTTTTGGATAGAGCAGAGAAAACTGGTTAAGTCTGATCGAAAAGCTCGGTGGAGCTTGCGGATCTTGAATAACGACAGCATGCGATCTTTGATGCAAGGTCTTGTAACATCCCTAATATATATGTGCACCTGATGCTTATGGAATTAAAATGAGATTAAACCGATGGAACTGTGACAGCCGCATACGACCATGATCAAAAAGTCCATCCCTCATTCACGACTTTTATGTCGGTGATTTTCACCCGAAAAATGTGAGATATTAAGAATCTCCTGCCTGATGCTGTTAAATCAGAGATGGTCACAGATAAGCAGTTTTATCGAATCATATGTAAACCTATTCAGAAGGATACATCTGTAAAAGATGATTTTTAGATGCTGTAGATGGAAATAGGGTTAAAACAATTTTCTAAACTTTTGTGAGCTTTCGGGATGTTTGGCGAACTGCTTCGAAAGTTATAGACGTATTCATTAAGTTTGAGAATAAATATATCGAATTCAGATACATGCGATATAGCTGCGCTCCTCTGCACTCACATTTTATGTATTTACCAGAATATCGTCTGTACCTACTAATTTTGTATATTCAGGAAAAACATCATCTACGTCAGAGCCTGACGTAAAGGTGATGTTCATACCGTTGTATAATACAAAATCGTCAAAATGTGTAATTTCTCTTTTGTCCATAGTGAGTAAACTATTTGAAAGATTTATTTACGATCAATTGTTTACCCATTTGAACGTATATGTATAACTGATATTTATAAACAGAAAGAATACAGTTTAGCTTTAAATTGTGTTAGATTGTGTAATTGATAAAAAAACAATGAAAATTTGTTCTATTCTGTACATTGCTCTATATTCGATTTCTTTCATTCAGCAAAACCAGCGAAGAAAAACGAAAGAGAACGATATTCATCTATATCTACGCGTAGACTACAGGCTACGTCTACGGGTAGACTTGTTTTTAACGGCTTCACTTAGAAGATTGGATCTACCTCTACTTCAAGTATACATTTTGTCAAAATCCTTAACGGCCTCCTTTATCTGGGCTAAACCTTATCCAATACAGTCAGCATCATTTATCTGCCAAACAGCCCAAGACCAGAATTTAACCCTTTCCGAACCTTTTGGTACATCACCTACAATAAAGTCGTTTAAAATAAAGCGTTTTAAAATAGAATGACAAAGTTTATAGGTTCTCAGAACTTGTTTGTCTTCTTAGTAGCGTATTTTTGTTTATTTAAAGATGCATATCTGTGTTCCTTGTTTTACACTATGTGTCATCTACTTCCGCCTACTAAAATATAAATTAATCAATCGATCTACATTTCATTCCGTATCTAATAGCTACAGATTTTTTTTGTGTTACAACAGTGACCACAATAGTTCTTTTCACATAAAATCTTTTCCCCTCACATACACACAGTCATTCTTCCTACCCTCCTTTACATCGGACATTATGTTGTGTGCGTTTTACTATTCTGTTTTTTCGCATATTCATTCTTTCCACTCCTCCGCAAAGTGTATAATGGGTGAATACCAAATTGGTGATGCTTCTATTTAAATAAAAATGGTTAAAACAGCAAAGTAGAAAAAAAGTGAGAAGAAAAGGTTTTTTCATTTTCATCTACACTTAACGATATAATGAAGTTATTTTGTAAAAAAAGACCCAGTTTCATTATTTCAAAACAGTTAAAAAAACGTTCAGTTTTCCTTTTTTCAACATCTTTCAAGGATTTCATAATGAAACAGTGCTCTACGCTATATCACAAGGGTAGTATTATATTTACCACCTTATAATCATGAACATTTCAAACTTGACTGATGAAGATCTTTACCGTGGCGATTTGAAAATGTGCCAGATTACAAGCTCCGATCCTTTCGAGTATTTGTTAGCTCGACGTTTACTGGTAGACTGAAGTTAACGTTAGATAGTTCATGTTTTTTAATGGAAACACTCCTTCCGCTTTTAGACATCATGGATGAGCGAAATTTATTAATTTAAAGTATTTTCCAAACTTAAACGAGTATTGTTTTGAAAAATATGGCGTTCAATTTCAGGTAAGTTTTCCACTGTTTCAGTACAGGACAGATAAAAAAGTTCTAGTTCTACTATCCATCCCAAAATACCGTGCGGGTGGGTAATTTTTGAATAACTTTTGAGGGAAATGAGATAGAGACCTGCAGTTTTCGCTGTTCGATAGTCAAGACTTGAACGGAACTTTTCCACAGGATATAACAAGTGCTCGATCGAAGGTTATTGCAGTAAAAAGTTGTCCAACTGTTTGAATTTTTTTGCTGGATTTTGAATTCTCAATTTGAGAATAGAATCTCGAAAAACAGAAATATTGTAAAGCGCACTCAGAAAGTATGACAGTAATCATTTCTGCTATTTATCTGGGTAGTTACTCCAAAGGAAAGTCATCGAGGTTCAGCGTTTATATAATAAAACTGCTAAAAAAGTGAATACAACTCGCAAGTTTTGCAGCGAATAGCACTGTATTTCATCCGTTTGACGTGTGTTCAGCTGTTTATTACCAAATCTATTCAAAAAACTAAACTCGATTCAAAAACATATTCAATATTGAACAAGAAGAAACGACCAAGCGATGATGTGTTTGAATACCAGTGCATGACGACAGAAGAATGCCAAAGAATGTTATACAAGAGATCCTGTCACTTGTCCAGCAACCGTAGTTGAGCTAGGTGCGTTAGTGTTTGTATTCGGAACTAAAAGTAACATATTTTTAACAAAAACTAAAAAAGGAACCTATGTAAATTTTCAGAATAGAATAGGTTTTTAGACAGAGTGCTTCTCTTGAAATTGGATGCTCGTGAACTTTAGAGCAGGTCAAAACATTGGAATGTTACTGAAATTTTGAGTTCTTACGAAGAGTTCCAGAACTCACTATCTTGAGGTATGACCGCTTACTGCATAATAACGCAAACTCGATCTCTAGAACTATTTCTGTTCGAATACATCAGATAGTGCAGTGAGAGCCCCGATCCAAATGTAATCAACTGTGAAGGCCGAAACGATACTTGAGACTCATCGTATTTTCAGATAGAGTGTATGTGGAAGTATATATGAAAAAGGTGTAAGGTCTCAAGTGGTATCGCTCATGACAAGACTGACTCCAAAGTTGCCATTGTGGTACCCTCCTTCTAGAATAAGCAACTACTCCAAGACTTCATTGTGGAACTTTTCTATTCTCCTAAAATGGCGTAGAGAGGCCTGCTCTAGCTGCTTCTGTCAAGAACCTATTTTCACACAGCTAGCTGGCCTGTAGTATAGCTTAATTTATTTTGTCGTCAAAAGCAAAAAAGTTCTACCTTCTCCAAAAGCAATGTAACTTACGTGAATCGCAAGGATCCGTAAATGGAATTATATCTGACAAACGTACTAAAAAATAACATACATATTTAAATAGAGGTCAAAATATGTAAGACTTTAAAAAGATTAAAAGAAAAATAGGATTGAAGTATACCATGAAGTCACATTTAAGTAACATAGTCGGTGCTAGAATAAAATCTGAGAATAAAGTATTGTAGAAGAAACACATTTACTTAGACGAACGTATATAAGTAGGATCTCAAAGCCAAATGAATAGATAAAAGTAACCTGACAGAAATGCTTGCGTCTTCAACCGAAAATATTGATTGTTGAGAACACGAACGTCTATCACGACACAAACTAACAAGTAGAGACCTGTAAACCGACCTGATCCGAGATCAGGGTCGGGTTTGATCTGTTAGGTTTTGTCGGCTTTGAAATTTTCTTCAGTGACGCTTTTCTCTTTTTGTACGGAATGTTCAACACTACTATCCGTTCCAAAATACAACGCCATTGGTTACTTTTGGAATAACTCAATCACACTAATAGGTAGCGACCTGCGGTTTTCACCATCGTGTTGCTAAGGCCTTAAGACAAGTTTTTGCAAGCACAAACTTCTTTCAAAATTTTCTGCAAGTGCAGCTTTTCAGAGGATCTTTGGAAAATCAGCTCCGTTCTCAGAAAACTAACATACGCAGTTAGTGACGCAGTTAGTAATCTTTTTGCATGCGTAGGTGGCCCAGACGTTACTCTACAAAACTATGCAAGTCCCAGATCTTCGCTCGGTCAGGGCGCACTTTCCTCCAGCGCGTGTCTATTTCCGAGCAGACATCTCTGGGAATCTCGAAATATCATAGAATGTGAATCTCGAAATATCATAGAATGTAGGTAATCGATTACGCTGAGCATAGTAGCAACATTTGCTTTCGCGTAGAAATGAAAATAACTTCGCCAGAAGCATTTTTGTGAAAAATCGGT